GCAGGCCTGCCCCATCACCCCATCTGGTGGCATCTCCTGTGCTGCCCCACAGCTTCTTCCTCTGGGACGAACAGTGACACATAGCACCCCTCCTGAGACCCTGAAATACTCCGCATGGCCGCCAAGGCCCTGCACCCAGCCAGGCCCTGCATCCCAACTGCTCCCCCTCACCTTGGCCCCCTATCCATCGACACAGCTGACCTTGGATCTGGACCCTCAGAACCATGACTCCCAAGGCCTCCTCCTGCTCCTAAGGTGGAGCGCTGAGAGTCAGGGTGCTCCTCGCTCAGCCCTGTACCCCCACAGCCAGCACCTTGTCTGGCACTGATGAAGTTCTACCAACTGAGGGGCTGGCCCATGCTCCTGATTCCCCGCCCCACTCTTCCCTGTACTCAGGGGAGGCAGACCTGCAGAAAGAGGCCAGCCCCCAGTCCTCTCTGTTCCCCACAGGCCCTCCCCAGGAAGGCCCAAGAGGCAATGGGAGGCCCCAGCTCCAGCCTGGAGACCAGCGGGGAAAGAGCCTGGTACATTCTAGCTGGCATTACAGGACCCTGCAGCCAGAGTCCTCATGTCATAGGGCTTACGAGCCCATCTCCAGAGGTCACGGTCCTATTTACTCACGCATCAACGAACACCAGCCATGACCATAACAATAAGAACATAATAACAGATGCTGCTCATTAGACAGACACTGTCTCCAGTCTTTACCACCACCCTGCAAGGGAGGAGTGTTTACTCCCATGTTACAGAAAAGGAGACTGAGGGTCAGAGAGAGCACAAGAGGAAGTCAGGAAGCGGTGAAGTGAGTCAAAATTTGAACACAGGCCTGTCTACCCCCTGAGCCCAGGCTCTGCACCTCCTTCCTGTCTTGCGGAGGTTCTTTGGGGACTGAGGACAGTCTTGCTGGCCCACTACCTAACACTTAGCAAGACTGGAATGAGGCTGTCTGCATCCATCCTTGCAGATGCCAGCAAGACAGGCAGGTAAGGTCCCTGTTCCCAGTCTTCAGGTGAGGAAATTGAGACCTCTCATTGGAAAGGTGGGTCATGCGCAGGGCACTGAAATCATTTACAGAGTGCAGTGAATGTAACTAGGCCAACATCACACAGCAGAAGAGCATGCCCTGGAATTTGACCACGGTCACCTCTCCACACCAGGAGCTCAGGGCCACCCCATACCATCTCTCCTCCCCAGCCTCCCAGAGCCCCCAGCAGCCCCAAGGATTCCCTGGGCCCAGGGCAGCAAACAGCCAGCACCACCTGCTTCTGTTCCGTGAGCAAGAGGAAGCAGGGCCCTTGCCTAACAGAGGAAGTTCCTGGGCAGGGCGGGAGCAGAGCCAGGAGGGCCTGCCCAAAGGTCCCAGCCTAGCCTGAGGTCCAGGAAGGGGGCCACCTCTGATGCCCATCTGAGGCCTAGATGCTGACCTGCAAGGCCGGGGTCACAGCCCCCCTCCGAACCCACCAGCCAGCAGGCACCGCCCCTTTAAGCAACAGCCAGTTGGGCTGGCATGCCCGGCGGGTGAGTCAGCACCCAGTGCCCGCTGACTCACCCACCGGAAGCCTCCCGCTGCCCCAGCCTTCTCCCCACACAGGCAACTGAGAACTTTGCTCCTTTCAGGCCTGGAGCCATGGGCTGGCTGATAGAGAGTTTCCTGTGCGTCACGCCAGGGGTGGGGGAAGTCCCCAAGGTGTCACCCTCCAGTCTTTCCGACAGCAGGAATGGGACAGGACAGGGGGTTGGGGGCGGGAGACAGTGGCCATGGCAGGCAGGGCCAGGACACCGACGGTGCTCCTGAAGCCTCAATGTCCCCACCGGGCAGCTGGGAGCCATGTGAAGATCAACCACGACGTGCCCGTGGGCGGCACTCAGTGCAGTGGGGGCAGGGACAGGATGCATATGGTACCCCCAAGGACAAATGCAGCCTGAAACAGCAGACCCAAACCATGCCAACCAAATGTCCCCCTGACCACTGGCCCCAGCGCCAGCTGCCCTTGGCCTCTGACTCCAGCCAAAGATGGCATGTGGGCAAGGACGCTGGGGAAACCCAGCAGGGCTGTGGGACCTGGCGCCTCATGCACTCACGGAAAACTCCCCAGGCCTGTGGCATAGAGGATGGAGCAGGGCACCAGCTGCGAGGCAGGAAGCTCAAAGGTAAAGCTCCCTGAAGGTCAAGTGCCAACCACACCCTGTTTTGTTCAAATTCCTCTGAGAAGGTGAAGAGCACAATGCTGGAGGACCCTGTGCCCAGGATGGGGAAGGCACAGGTGAGGATCCCAGCTCTGTGGACTCAGCCCAGCCACTCCCCCTGTGTGGCCTCAGTTTTGTCATCTGTCAAATGGGTCAGACTGCAGTGAAGATAAAATGTGCCAACTGTAAAGGGCTGTGTACGCAAGAGGCATCACCTCTGGCTCAGTCCTTGCTCCAGGTCAGGCTGGACCTGGAGGAGACACGCAGACTAGGCAGAGGCATAATGGAGCATCCCACCAGCTGGGATGGCAGGGTGCGGGCAAGGGGGAGGGGGATCCCCACCAGCTCAGCTCAAGCATCCAGCACAGGAATGGGACATAAAGGAGCACTGGGGAAACCTGTGCAGATCCACAGCCGTGGACAGAGCCCTAGCTGCACGTGTCACAACCGTATGACCTCAGGCAAGGCACTAACCACCTCCGACTCTCAATTTCCTCATCTATAAATGGGGCTGTGAGGAATAAATGGGAGAGCACACGGAACATGAAAAAAAGCTTGATAAGTGGCAACTCTCAGGATTTTTGGTGGGGGGGTATTATGGCTCCCCACCATATCCTTCCACAGACCTTGAAGAGGCTGACAAGGTCCCTGAGCCTTGCAGAGGCTCCTGACCCTCCATCTAACCCACCCAGCATCATCTATTACCTGGACCCTCAAACTGGAAATTCATCTTCGTTCTCTCTCTGCAGAGAGGCTCAGAGAGGCCAACACCAGAACTCAAGTCACATAGCACATGGGAATCAAACAGTGCCTCCCCAAATTCCCTTTTCCCTTCACACCCGTGACCCCTCTCCCTTCACAACTCTACAACTTTTATTGTGATGAGGCATTGCCTGCCCGGAAAAGCTGAAAGAGCATTCAAAGACAAACACTGCTTCCAGCCTCCTCCTTCTGCCCATGAAAGCACTGTGGCCCAGAGAAGCTGAGGGACCTGCCCTAAGTCCCACAGCACTGACCAAGCTAGAGAAAAGAAGTGTCTGATTTCCTGGTTCTCCAGAGCGGAGAAGCGTATGATTTCCCGGTTCCCAAGCTCCACGAGGTCTGTGCAGTCCAAGTCCCTCCCCAACCGCCTCCCCCCTCAAGTGCCTCGAGTTACTCACAGTGGTTGGGCAATGGTCAGGGATCCGGCCTCCCACTTACATAAGACGTAATTACCCTGCCCACCGGGCCGGCCAGGCTCTGGCCCACAGCCAGCGCAGCCCCTGGCAGCAGGGGCAGAGATGGACCCACACCCTCCCCAGGACCCCACAGGCCCTCCTGCTGCCCGGGCCCCTCCAGAGAAAGAGAGGGAGGATCAAGCCCCGAGGAGAGGTGCACTGAGTAACATCTGTTACCTTTCTCCACCTCACTCTGCAGCTGCAACCCAGACAGAGGCAAGGCCTTGACCCCACATGGCTGAGGCCTTCCCAACAAGGGAAACGGTAACAAGGTGTGGGCAACTGTGCCTGCCTGAGCACCTACTGTGTGCCAGGCGCCCTGCTGCGCTCATCACCAACTCACCCATGCTTGCTCGAAACTCTTTAGTTATTTGCTACCTCATATCACACCCAGAAATCCACACAAGGTACGTGTGATTACTCCCATTTTACAGATAAGGAAACTGAGGCCCAGAGATACTTCTGCTGCTGGGGTGAGGCAGCAGCAGGTTTAGAGAGCCGGGAGGCAGCCCATTCATTACAGCTATGGCCGCTTTGGAAAGCTCACACAGCCTAGCCTGCTGAGGCTCTGACATGCCAGAAACATCCCTGCCTCTTCTCTGCACCAAAAAAAAAAAAAAAAAAAAAATCCCCCTTTCACCCTCCAAGTTTCACCCCCTCCCCCCGCCCCGCATGACAAATCCTGCTGCTCTGCCACGGCAGCCGCCACCTCAGAAAAATTTCCAGGAAGGCCAGCTACTTGGAGAAGACAAGAGCGAGCCCATTGCACAGTGAGCACCCTGGCCTAGCGGCTGGCCCAGAACCCCCAGGCAGCAGGGGCAAGCCTGGGATGGACCAACCCTGCAGATACCGGGGAACAAAAAGGGGTGAGCTGCCCAAGGGCAGAGAGAAGCTTGCAAGTCAAGACAAGGAGAGCTGACGGAGAGGGGGGCTGTGTTAGGGTGCAGTGGGAGGCCAAGAGAGGTTCCCGGGGCACAAGGCTGCAGGGCTGCAAGCCCGCCTGGGATGGGGCAACGAGGGGCCTACAAGGATGGAGACAGTTGGGGGAGAGGAGCGAATTTTTAGCTGGAGTGTAGCCAGGGCACCCACACTGCGGGGCGGGGGGAGGGGGGGAGTAGTTTACATTGAGATTCCCCAGCAGGGCAGCACTGCTGGGGTTCAGCTGGGGAGTCATTTAAATCCCAGCATGGATTCAGCCCTGGGACCAGGGACTGCAAGTGGGGGCTGGGTGAAGGATCAGAGTGAATACCACCTGGATCCAGCTAAGGGACCCAGATTGGGAGAATTCCTGTTCTGGGTGCAGTTGAGGCCTAAATGAGGAGGTCAGAGTGAGGTTTCTGACCTGGAGCGGGGTCATCAGAACGAGATGCTAGCCTGAGTTCGGGTGTGAGAGCAGCCGCAAGGCCTAAACTGGGGGGTCCAGGTGAGGTCTATCTAGGCTGAGACCGAGACCCGAGTGCGGAGGGATTCCGGGCCGGAGTGCTGCCTAAGTCCGGGACGGGCTGCAATGGGATCAGACAGACAGAGGTCGGGGTCCGCAGTCCGGGCCGACTGGGCGCGGGGGGTCAAGCCGCGCTCCCCACCAGGCGTTCCTACCTTTGGTCTGGGGCATGCTGGCGGGCTGACTGGAGGCGGGCGACTCCATGGTGCAGGCGGGTCCAGGGGCGGCGGCAGGAACTAATCTAGAGGGCGGCAGGCTCTACCCGGGCGGAGAGCGCTCATGGCTGCGGGCAGGGGGCCCGGGCGCGGCGGCGGAGCTGAGACGGCGGCGGCGGCGGCGGCGGCGGCAAGTTAGCGTCCGCGACGGGCGGTGCCGGAGCCAGACTGGGCAGCGCCGCGGGGGCCCCGGCCGGACGGCGCCGACGTAAGCCCCGCCCCTGCACGCCGATTGGCCCGTCAGTCTCCAGGGCCCGTCCCCTGCCTATCAAATGCCGGCCTGCCCTGCCTGTCAAGCACAAGCCTCGCCCCTGCTGGCCCCAAATCGGGCTCCTCCCACTGTCTGTCAAGCCCCGCCTTCCACCCGGGAAACCCGGGCCCACTCAGGCTGGGTCCCCCTCTTAGGCTGGAGCCGGGTGCCTCCCGCTGCCTGTCAAGACGCAAGCCCGCCCACTGCCCGGGACTGGCGGAGCCCGCCTCGCGCCTGTCAGGCACTAGGCCCCGCCCCCGCGCTCGCCCAGCCCCGCAGCGCCCTTCCAGGGCGTTCGGTGGGCCCTCCTGGAGTGCGCAACCTGGGAAAAACCCCACGTATCCTAGGGTGGCGGGAGCGGGAAGGCGGGGTGCTGTGGAGCCGTTAAAGTGCGCCCCCGGGGCGAGACCTGGGTTCAGATCCCTACTTGGCTACTTTCCAGGGGCGGTGACCTTGGGCAAGTCTGGTAACCCCTGAGTCTCAGTTTTCGCCTCTGTAAAAAGCGACCATAACAGCCCTGCCTCCTGGCGCTGCACAGGAGATCGGACCCGGGCTTTAGCAGAAGGTCAATCCTGGTTGACCGCACGTTGCAAAGGGCTTAAGCACAGTGCCCGGCGTGCGCACATTTATTCCCTGCCTCTGCGTCATCCCCCGAGCGCCCGCCGCTGTGTGTCCGGCACCGGGGAACGGGTGGGTTGCAGTGGTGAACTTTGTGGTTCCTAGTGAGACGTCAGTAAACGTAGTTTTAGTGGTTATGTCTTTACCGCCCCTCGTTCTCTACACGGTGAAGCTGAGTCTTGGAGGGAGTAAGGTGGGCCTTTGGTTCTCTTCTCCGCTCTTGGGGCCTCTGTCTGTGTATACAGACTGTATAGTGTATAATGGCAACATAGGCAAGTCCTCCCTTCCGCTCCCACGTGGAGCTAGGGGGATTTTAGGAGCCACTGACCAATCTGGCCCAGGGATCAGGTGATTCAGACAGAAAGCTAGGGCTAGGGAGGGAGGGAAGCGCCTTGCAAAGGTCAAGGGGTCAGCCCCTAGCCTCTGGGCAGGCATGAGTGTGCGGCCTGCCGGGGACCTCACGTGAGGAAAGCAGATTCCACCACCTGCTAGAAATGCTTGGAGCAGGGAGCTGACCTCTGCTTGCCCATTTGTAAATAGGGGTGATCCCTGCAGGGCCCCACCCACACAATGATGGAGAGGGCCCGATGAGATAAGGAAGGGGGATATGTTATTTACATTATCATTACTCTCTTCCTGCGTCTCTTGCTCACCCTTTCCGGGCAGTGGGTGGAAAGTCATGATCTATGGACTCAGACAGGAATGGGTTCAAATGCCAGTTCTGCCACTTACTAGAAGTCATGGAGCAGCTCCATGCCTCAGTTTACTGACCTGTCCCATGGGGACAATGAGGCCTCTCTGAAATTGGCTTGTGAACTCAGGCTTGGAAGTGCCTGGCTTAGGGCCTGGCACTTCCTAAATGCCCAGGAAATATTTGTAAATATTCTGCGGGCCACCTCCTCCAGGAAGCCATCTCAGCCTTACCACTCCTGGGTGTGTGGAATGCTCTGTTCCCAATGGGTCATGTGACCCTGGGCTAGTCATTTCACCTCAGGACCTGGTGCTTATCCATCTGTAAAATGGGCACCCAGCAGCAGCTACTTCCCTATCAGGAATGTAAGCCTGGTCCCACAGGTTTTCTAGGCTCAGGCTCCTGCCATCTGCTCGGACTTCCACGCTTCCCCTGCGCCCTGTTCGAGGGTCTCAGTGCTGCCCCTTGAATGTGCCAATACCCGTCCTGCCTCGGGCCCTCTGCCCTCACTGTTTCCTCTCTGCCTGGAACCCCTTTCCTCCCAGGATTCCTGTGGTGGTTCCCTTCTAGCCTGCATCCCTGACCCGGGATGACAGAGGACTGGAAAGAGAGGATGGTGGGAACCCAGGATGAACTCCTCTAAAAGGCCTTCCTGCTCATGTCCCCAAATCAGTTGTAATTCTCCGCACAGAACTCATGCCACTGATGCCTTTCCTATTTGCTCTGTTTTTTATCCAGCTCTCCCTCGAGACCATCAGCCCTTCCTGCGCAGGAATCTTGCCAACTCATTCCCTGCCGAAGTCCTGATGCACAGCCCAGGGCCTGGTGCATAGTAGGTGCCTAATAAGTCCTTGAGGACTGAACAAAGGCAGGATGAAAAGCATGCCACAGACATTGATGAAGTGACTCTAGTCCCGTGCCAGCCTCCCAGGCACCCGTATGACTCAGACAAGGCCCTTCAGTTGGAGGAGCTGACGGTTAGTCAGGGAGCCTGACAGTCAGCCCAAGAATCACAAAACTCCATGTGGGGTGCTATAAATAGATTCATGAGCAAGAGTCTCAGGAAGGTGCCAGACACCACCTGGGTGAGGTCAGGGAAGGCTCCTCAGAGGAAGTGACTTTGAAACTGGACCGTGAAGGATCAACAGGAGCTTGTCGGGCAGAAAAGCAGAGAGAGTCTCCCTGGGAAGGGCTGGAGGTGCGAAAGGGGCCACATGTGGGGGCCAGCTGGGGCTGCAGAGCTGCATGGCGGCCACGACAGGAAGCACCATGATAGAGCCGCCCCTTCTCCTCTCAGCTAGCTACAGCAGCATGTGCGGGCCACCCTCTGGCCCTCGGGAGCTCGGTAAGGCCGAGGAACTCCGTGATGGCTCAGAAACCAGAAGGAGCATGCAATGGGGTCCCAGCAGGTTGCCTCTTACCCGGACTCTGAGAAGGAACGTCCCAAACACCCCTCTCTGTAGACTCAGGGAAACTGAGACACAGGGAGGAATTGGGGGTGGCCAAAGTTAGGATGTGGCTGTGAGCCGAGGTGGGAGGGACCCGGGATGACAGAGGACTGGAAAGAGAGGATGGTGGGAACCCAGGACTGGGGAAGATCATTCATTCATTCATTCATTCAACTGTGTATTGAGCACTTACTGTGTGCCTCGCACTGAGGGCACAACATTGAACAAGACAGACACAATTCCCGGCCCTTACCGAGGTGATGGTCTGGTGCGCAAGCCGGGCAAGCAAAATGCCTAGGTTACATCATTATACTCGGTCAGAGGATAAGTGCTATGGGACAAAGGATGGAAGGGGACAGGGACTGTGTCTGGGTGTCGGGACTATACTTTTAAAGACAGAGGTCAGGAAAAGGCTCACTGGAAGGTGACGTGTAAGCACAGAGCTGAGGAGGTGAGGAAGGTGTCATAAGGACGTCTGGTGGAGGGCGCCTGGGTGGCTCAGTTGGTTAAGCGACTGCCTTTGGCTCAGGTCATGATCCTGGAGTCCCGGGATCGAGTCCCGCATCGGACTCCCTGCTTAGCGAGGAGCCTGCTTCTCCCTCTGACCCTCCCCCCTCTCATGTACTCTCTCTCATTCTCGCTCTCTCAAAATGAATAAATAAATCTTTAAAAAAAAAAGGGGGGGGGGGCGCGCCTGGGTGGCTCATTTGGTTAAGCAGCTGTCTTCGGCTCAGGTCATGATCCTGGAGTCCCGGGATCAAGTCCCGCATCGGGCTCCCTGCTCGGCAGGGAGTCTGCTTCTCCCTCTGACCCTCCTCCCTCTCATGCTCTCTGTCTCTCATTCTCTCTCTCTCAAATAAATAAATAAAATCTTTAAAAAAAAAAAAAAAAGGATGTCTGGTGGAAGAGCATGCAGGCCGAGAGAACAGCATATGCAAAGGCCCTGAGGTAGATGGCTTCTAGGGGAATAACTGTGGCTGGAGTAGTGGGAGATGGGGCGGGGTGCTGTTCTCACCTATATGTACCTCTTGCACTTCTCCAACACACCCACCTGCACAATCAAAACTCCACGAGCCCCCTTTCACACCTAAGTCCACAGAGCCCAAATACACATGCGCACATGAACACAGCAAGGTGCACAAGTGTGAATACGCACGTGGAATGGCCACACAGGTGTAGGCACAGTAACAGACTCAATCCACAGGCACACCACCCTGACACTAGAAGGGGCCTCCGCGGCTTGCTGATACACAACGCCCTCTGGTGACCATTTCTGGCATGGTGGCTGGACGCGAGCGGGTCACTTTATGGCGTCCTGGGCAGAATCAGCCCCGCTCTCTACTCCTCCCCCTCTTCTCTTTGCTTCCTGCCCCCAGTTCCTCCACCCAGTTCCTCCACCCTGCAGCCCGAGAGAGCCTTCCAAAATACAGAGCGGGCCGTGTTCCAAACCCTGCCAGGGCTCCCTAAGTGGGGAACTTCCCCAGGCGTCATCCCACCGCAGCCACTCCCAGCCCAAGCTTTCCTCCCTGAACCTTTGTTTGCAAAGGCTGTGCCCTCAGCCAGGAAGGCCCTCCCTGCCTTCTCCACCTGACTCAGTCCTACCCCCCTTCAAGGCCCAGGTCTGAAATCAAGTGGGGAGGTTTTCCCTGACACAAAGCCCCAGCATCTCCAGCCCAGCCCTCTCCTCGAGGACCCCGGCTCTGCCTGCCGGCTGCACCCACATCTGCCTCCTCTCTGACCTTGTGCTCCGCCAAAGCAGGACCAGCTGGACGCGGAGCTCTGAGCAGGGGGAAGGCACTCGGGAAGAGCGTGGCAGCAGGTGGGAGCCTCCTCCTCAGGATCAGGCTCCGAAGTTGTGGTGTGCGGAGGAGAAAACCGAGAGGGAAAGCAGGGGCTCGCCTGCCTTATTTACATTGTCACCACTCTCAAGTATCAGAGGGCGAATCCATCCAAGCTAGATGACTCTGCCAGCGATTTTTGGAGCCCCTACTATGTGCTAATCCCTCAAAACACATCCTCTTGTGGACTCACTGTGGTGCAAGGTGCATGCGGACAGTGACTGCTTTGTCATTGCAGTGTCCCCTGCGCCCAGCAGGCGCTCAGTAAACAACTGTGGATTGGAGAAAGGCTCCGAACAGCCCAGCAAGAGGCATGTTATTATCACCACGTCCATTT